TCTTGGCATATGCGAGGTAAAACTCTCAACTATACAGACCTTTCAATTTTATTTTTAAGTTAGATATTTCAAATATGAAATATAAGAAAAATATTAAGTACTACTTTATGCAATTACTGCTTAAGAAAGACAGAAGACAAAGAATACCTACTCCTACTAGACCAAATAGAGACGAAACTTGACTCGATAGTATAGAGTTAATAACCAAACATTTTATATTTTTAGGTGGAATAAAGACGTCGGATACTGCCAAGGTTTTAATATGTTAGCAGCCATCATACTTGAAGTCATGGACAAGTCAGAATCGGACTCGCTAAAGGTAAATAAATCTACGTAAAATACTTTAAGGTTTCAAAAAGATGGCAACACACTCGTAACTGGTTGGTTACTGATTGGTTTGCCATGAGCGGTGCCGTATGCTTACCATCAGGTAATAACTGAGCTCGTCAGCCTTATCTCATAAAAAAGATGGAATTTTTGGGACTAAGTTGGATTGTGATAATTGCCTGACCTCCAAAGGATGCAGCAGTACCTATTTATTGGTGACCTACATAGCTAGGATCTCAGAGTCACGTGTCAAGGATGGGGACTATGTTTTTAATTTCTATTAGGCTGTCGACTGTCGTTTTGCCACTATCTCGCCTGGTGAGATAGTGGCAAAACGACAGCCGACAAGCGATGATCCGACCTCAAAAGGAGCTGGCCTACCCATAAGCGACTTCTTGACGACTCCGGCAAATAATTATACTCCTTAGCGGTTCTGACCAGAACTATACCATCTAAAGCGAAGACTTAATGATAATGAGTCTCTTTCTTGTAGGTAATGATATACTTGGTGGAGGCTGTACTACCTGAGGGGTACTTCGCAGACGACCTTCGCGGCTTGTCAGCAGACATGGCAGCGTTCAGGGATCTCCTGCGACTACGTCTGCCTAGGTTGGCACAACACATGGACCATTTGCAAAGGATATCTGACGGTGAGCAACATTGTTGTCTTACTTATGTATAAGTCAACTTATAGTAGAATTCATTACTGAAAGTATTTTTTTATTGTAAGAGTAACATCTATTCTGAACCGTGTGGCGTAATTATACCGCATCAAATTAGAGGAAGATGAAAATGCCACTCAGTTAATTAAAAATATCGCGAAAATACAACAGCAGACAACAGTCACATAATTATTGTAGGAATAAAATTGTAATCTTCCTTTCTAGGTGGTGGTGTAGAACCGCCTCTACCCGATGTGTTCACAATGCAATGGTTCCTTACGTTGTACGCCACATGGTTGCCGAGGGAGTTCCTCCTGAGGATATGGGATCTAGTCCTATTGGACGGTAATGAAGTGCTACTTCTTACCGCACTCGCCATATGGGATATGCTCCAAGAGTAAGTTTTTGTTAGACTTTAGTATTCTTCTCTTATTAAACCTTAGTATTTTACAATTAATTAAAATATTTGGCTGCACGACTGGCGGAATTTGGCGATCGATATCTAAGACTGATTTACATATATTTTTTTATATATATAGATTCATTTCAAGGTAAAAACTGTGCCCCCTTATTACAAAACACGGAGTCAGGCTTTGTATATTATTCTCTCCTACCTTCAATTTGAAACACAAAAACAGGCTCAATGGTGTAGACCTACAATAAACAAAAATCTTGGTTTATTATAAACCGGCTGCTGGTGTCCATGGGTGACACTGATCCATCATTACGTGATCAGTCAGTGCTTCAGCTAGTAGGTAGGTATAAATAAAATCACCATTTCTAATATCTGCAACGAAATGGCATGTAAATTATATTACTCGTTTCCAAAGTATGGTTCATTGTATTGTTCATTTCAACGGATTTTATGTTCGAATGAAACCAAAATACCTACTCTGTTTATTTGCGAAATAAAATTTACAGCTAATTTTATCTGTAAACGCATTCTGTCGTAAATAAAGAATATAACTTAGAATCCAATAATATATTTTACACACCTGCGATGCCTGTGTAATATTGTAGTTTTTTTTTATCTGGTATGTCGACAAACGGATTGCCTGATGTTAAGCAATCAGCGCCACCCATAGGCACCCGCGACAGCGGAGGAGTGCGTTGCCAATATTTTGGGGTATTAAGGATTGGGGAAGGGAAAGAATTGGGCTCCCGGTAACCTCACTCATACGACGAAGCACAACGCTGTGGTTGTTTAACGCCACGTTTTCTGAGAGGTCGTCACGCCAGTTTTCTGGGAGGCCGTGATATCACTCCGGTCGAGCCGTCCCATTCGTGCTTCGGCATTGCTTTGCCACACTTAAGTATACAAGTATATAAAAACTAAGAAACTAACGGTTTTCCTTCCTATTTTTTGTTTCATGGACCTTACATAAGTGAAGAAAATAAATGCAATAAATGGACATTACAAGGAAAAATAAGCATGATAAATAACATCATCCAACCGGGTACTCCCAAACCGATATGCGTTCCCTACTGTAGCAATGTGTCTTTAACTAATAATAACTTATTAATAACGTTACCTTCTTGAAAGGTACGTAAATTATATTCCTCTTTATTACAGACGTTTGTCTTGTCGAATGTAATATGAAAAAGTGGTTATGATTTTTAGAAATACATTGCATAAATTAAATGAGTTTAATAAAGCCCATAATCGTTCAGACTCCCCCGCTTTCCTGTTATCTTTGTTATCGTATCCGAACAATAACTGATAAACGATAATAGCACTTAATGCATATATGGCTTATGCCTATTTAGGTGACAAGTTAGATATTGAGATAAAACTGATGACCAAGATGACTTGGCCAGATGGTGTAAAATTTGTTGACGTATTATTAAAAGGCAATGCTAATAAAATGAACTAGTTTAAAATACTTTTTGGATAATTAGGTACCATACCATAGATATATACCATGCTCTCTCTCTGCATCACCCTAAGGTTGACTGGTAAGAATGCCTATGGCATTAAGTTCGCTACAATTAATAGGAGGAGAGCAGTAAAGGGAAATGTTATGAAAACGGGAGAAGTTACTCCATTTTTTTTAGCTTCCGTCGCGTGTGCACCCTTAATGGTTGTAGTTACTTAGGAAACATATATATAATTATCTACAAAATATCCTACGACAGTCAATGTCTATCTTTTATGTTTGACTCACAATTACACATGTAGACAAGTGGTAATTTTTATGCTTATTAATATCCACTTCCATGCCCATAACCAAGCGGACGAAGTCGCAGGCACAGCTAATTTTAAATTTCATGCACAGATTTGACCTGTTTACAGATTTATTTTAAGTAATACAATAATATTGCCAGGTTCTTTAATATGTTTTGTGGCGCGCTAAAAATCAATAAGTAATTGGTTTTTAAGTTGTTTCAATGTGCTGCTTTAAGTTTTCCTCAAAATTCTGTGTTTCTCTGTCTCTCCTTCACACCTAAACTATTGAACCGATTTGGATAAATTTAGTACAAACATAGTTTAAAACTTGGGAAAAGACAGAACTTCCCGGAGCGGACGAAGTCGCTGGAAAAAGTGTTGCATAATGATTAAATAAATAAATATCTACATATATGTCTGTGGCTACTACTGTTTGCAATTGTGATTTGATACATACAATGGTTATTTTTCAGTCGTATTCTGTCAGCCCGATCCGCGGACGAGTTCTACAGCTGCATGGGTGGTGGCGCCGGCGCCGTTTGGGAGGCCGGTGACTCTCTGGTGGCGAGGGTCGTAGCTTTCGGTTCGGCACCGGAACTGCCGCGGCTTCGCAGCCTGCATAGATACCGCGTGGCCCCACCCGCACCGCCCACATCAGCGCCCATATATCACCCACCTTTACATTCTGCAGTACGTTTAACTTTCCTTATATTATGTGGTAGATGCCCCAAAAATTTCATTCTAGGCACAGGCATGCATAAATATAAATGTATACTATTAAAAGCAAATATCTTGGTGGTCGATCTAAGGCTTTCAATTGTACAACTTGCGTTAAAAAAAGTAATATGCTTATCTATACTTAAGCAATGGTAATAATATTTTAGATGCAGTCAATGACAAAACGTGGTCTGCGGCTGTTTTATTCAGAAGATGAAGGAGACTCAAGTGATGATGGCAACAAAATGGCTTTGGCCACGGTAAGAAATCTAGAAACGAAAGTTTTTAATTTAAATACCTACTGTTCAGTGGATGATAAAAACGAATTCTTTTAACAGTTTGTTCCTCGACGAGAAGACCGTTTAGCAGCAGGAGACAGGCTGTCTTTAGATATTGGCGCATTGAAACGTCAATACGCTCGTCTTAGAGAACGGCAAAGACAAGCACATGTAATACTAGCCGCAGCTTGTGCGCGACACGCTGCAGGTAAAGCATTACTTACATAGTTTTGAAATAAAAAATTCATAAAAATAATAGTGATCCATATAGTCAAAGTACTGCAAACAACATTATTCTAAAATATAATATGTTTTTCTTTCCAGTCCAGGGTGTACCTACCTCTCCAACGTCACTTACAGTTAATAACCTTCTACTGGGTAAAAGTGCATTAGTTAGCTCTAGAGGAAGAAGACTAGGTCCACCCCCAGGAGCAATTCCACCATCACGGCAAACGTCGACTCATGAAAAATCAGAGCCACGTTCACGACAATCAGCTGACACTATCAGTTGGAATGAAGAAAAAAGCCGAAAGACGCTTAGCAGGCGAAATTCAGTTAAATGGAAAGATATAAAGAAAGATAAAGTCAAACAAAAAGAAAGGAAGGCCTCAATTGACTTAGATGAAGCTGGTGATGGAATCATCGTTTCTGAAATTGAAGCTAATCGAATGATAGCCACTGTGAGATCTCGTAGCTCTAGTGAAACATCTTCCTATTCGTCACACAGTGCTTCAAGTACAGATACAAGTTTATGTGATGAAAATGAAAGAGGCAGTGATTCCGAACCAGAAATTCCCGATGACGAAAAGGATAAGAGGAACTTGAATAAGTATAAGAATATTTCTTCTCCATCAGCTTCGAAACCAAGCAAAAATAATCATCACCTCACTAAAAAAGAACCTGTTTTATTACGTACCCCTGACCCTGATACAGAAACTACAATGATGTTGGATGATAAACCCATCAAGAATATATCGGAATATCTAGATTCCGCAGCAGGTGAACCGCTTCGGACTTACATTGATGGATTCGAAAGCAAGTTAAAGGACAGTTTGAAAATTACAAACGATGTCACAGTTTTCAATCCAACCAATATATCTCCTTGTTCCCCACGTATGACCACTGAAAGAAATGAAGTATTACAAAGACTTAATAGAACAAAATACGAAGAAAACTCCGCAAGTAGAGAAATAACAAGGCCTACAAGTTTTACAAAGTCACCGAATGTCTTTACTGAACTCAGTCCTATTGATTTATCACCATGTAATTGTGGTGTGGGCCGTAAATCTCCTTACGAATATGATTTTGAAAAAAACTTTAAACGACCTCCGTTAAACGAGCCTATATCCAGACCACCCGATATCATTGATAGTTTCACGATGTATCCAAATTTTGTGCCTGATATAGATTTATCTGATAAGAATGTGTCTGACTTTGAAAGTCCCCCTGGAAGTCCCGGCGGTGAAAGTATAATAGTAAGTGAAGATGAACCGCCAATACCTTTAAAAATTGATAAATACTTCGAACATAGTCCAGAATTTTTTGGTGCTCGTGTTACAGATCCTAACAGTGCAGACATTCCGAATCGGCGATCCACTAAAAGGTTATCACGTCTACCAAAGAAACCAGACTCATTGACATTACAAAGTAACCATAATGATAAAATTATCAAAGAAGAAGCAGAAAGAGCATCATCGCTACCACAAAGCCATAGTTTTGCAAAGAAAACTAGTGAAGAGTATAAAGAACCAGACTTTATTGCTGCCCAAAAACGAGAAACTCCTGAAACAAGCAAAGAAGAGAGAGATATTTTTTCTCCAAAAGATTACATTTTACAGACAGGGCGGAAAAATAGCGAACGAGCCTTACAAATAATCCAAGAAAACTCAAAAATTTTAAGTCGAATCTTGACAAAACAGAACATCACAGAAGTAAAAAGTCCTACAAATTATCAAGTCACAAAAAGTGATGAAAATGTTCTCGAGAAACAACGAAATAGTTATTCAAAAACAGTTCCAGAAAAAACTGTTGAGAGTCAGCTCATTGAATCACCTTTACTAAAAGAATCTACCTCTGATTCACTAATAGGCTATAGAAAAAGAAATATCAACGTAGGATCAACTGAAAATAACGATTTTGTCCGAATTCGACCTATTTCGATTGATGACCCGTTTTCTTTAGAAATTCGAAATTCCACCGCGAGAGAAGAAGAATTTTCAATAAAACATACAAAAAGTCCAAGTAGTGAATGTTTAGGTAATAAGACCGATTTATATGGATGGGAAAATAAAGGGTTTTTAGCAAAATGTGATCACAAAAGTTTTTTAGACAAAACTGAAAATGTTGATTTCGATTATCAAAGTAAAACCAGTGATTTGTCAAGTTATGGTGACTTGTCAAATAAAGACCTCAAACCTGCAACTACATCTGAATGGACTCGACATTCTTTTTCGGGTGAGTCCAGGGCGTCAGTTACTTTACCGTCTTCGGAACCAAAAGATACGTCAACATACGAGAAGCGCTTTACTTCCGATGACTACAACTATCCATTTTCCAGCAAATATAATGACTTTGTGTTGTCTAAAGCTAGTGATATTTGCAGCAAAACGGTCAACCAAGGACCGAAAGTTTGCGAAAATGTATCTAAGACTGATAACAGCCAAGTTAGTGACTTTGCTCATGTTGTGACCTCTTCTATTAGTTTCACGTATGAACCATCAGCAGAGGACGACTCGCCGACTGGAGCCAAGAGCAACTCTAGTGATACTTTATGTCAAATCACTTCGCTAGATCAAGTATCCACTCCGATATCACCTAAGATATTTCCGAATAGAGAAACTCCCACTATTCCTAAAGACTATACAGAAAAGAGTGATAGGACAAAAGTAGAGTCAGACGATACTTGTAGTGCTATCACGTCGCTCATTGAAACAGATACATTGTCCTCGTTGTCTTACCCACGGAGTCCGTCAACAGGCTCGTACCACCCTTTTCCTACACGCCCTGTACTTCGCATGCCCAAAGAGTTAGGAGTGAGACTGGGCATGTACCCTAAAGATGTGATCAATTCCCCACAAAAGTAAGAGTAAATCAAGATGTGTAATAAAGACACTATTTCTAAGGTTGTTTTGTCTTGAATTATCCAAGATCAATTTTAATATATCCTTACGTGAAAATATTTTTATTGATATTTTCTGCTTTAATGATAATATACCTAGATTAACTGAACACAGATTTTTAGAACTGTATTATTTTAAACTAGTTTTTTTTGTTTTACATCATATTATGTTATTACAACATTTTTGAATATGAATCTTACCCGCTGCTAGTTTTCATAATTACTTATATATATTTGTTTCGTGTTATTATAGCTTGAGGGCTGAAAATGTTTTCTCTATTAATATTACAGTTTAGAAATATTATACGTACATTTGAAATGCGAAATGTTTCACTAAATATATTGAAAGGCACGAGGAAGTTTACAAATTAAAATTGTTATGAAATGTGAAACCTTTGGTATTTCAGATAGTAATTTGAGCTAGTAACAAAACAAACACGTTGCCTTGAATCCAACTTAAATGTTATGCGTAATAATAATAATCATTCGCAATATTAAAATATATGTACAATAATAAGGTAGATAGATTACTGTTTGAAGTCAATATTATTTACGGCAATTACTTATTTGTACTGCTATAGAATAATGTGCAAAAAGAAGAAGATTATGTTGTTAGAGACAATATTTTATTCTACGACAGTATTGAGAAAATATACATAATGCGACAGATGGTCAATTTGTTTGTTATTCACTGTTACATTCCTATATTATACAATAATAATACAAAGTATATGAGACGTTTGTTACGTCATCCCATGGTCTTAAGTCTTTTAACTTAGAAATCATCAAGGACCGGTGGGCAGGTGCAAACGAGATGTTTATCTCCGTACATGTCATCAATGCGACCGACCGTTGGCCAGATTTTCGTCTCTCCTTTTACAAAAGGCTGAAACAAAAATATTAATTAAAAATTTCATATCTATCAAAATAATCTAATTTTCTATAAGATGTCTTCCTTTTTATTAATTCAAAAAATTTAATAGTAGCCGTGTCTTCACACTCACCGCAGGGAAGGCAGCTTGTTCCCGACTGTAAGGTCGGTTCCAATCTTCTGTGATAACTTCAACTTGGGTATGTGGCGCCATCTGGAATACACCGCATTAATATTATGCATAAATCAAAATGTATTCGATATTTCGATGTCTGCCTTATAGGTCGAGTAGTTGCAAGTTAACCTGCTAAGCAAAAAATCTCGGGTTCGATTCCTTAGTTCGATAAAGAATTTTTGGAATTTTGGATTTTCCTAAATTTGTCAGTATCAACACGGAGTCTCGATAATTCATGGGACTTGTCTTGCATATTTTACCTTCAGAGGATTAAGTCTTTTATCCATAGTTCCATCTTCAATATCCTTGATTTCCTTCCTGATCGCGATCAGAGCTTCACAGAAGCGATCCATCTCTTGAAGATCTTCTGATTCCGTGGGTTCTATCATTAATGTGCCGGCCACTGGCCATGACATTGTGGGGGCATGAAAACCTAAAAAAGAAAAATATAAAAAATAGTCATTCTAAATTAGATTACTATTTTTATATTTCAAATAAACTTACCAAAGTCCATAAGTCGTTTGGCAATATCTCCAGGCTCTATATTAGCAGTCTTCTTTAAATCTCTTACATCTATAATGAATTCGTGAGCAACTAGCCCTCTTTCACCTCTGTACAAAGTCTTGTAATGACCCTCCAGTCTCTTAGCCATGTAGTTAGCATTGAGAATTGCCACTTGAGTCGCTCGCCTCAATCCTTTGGGACCCATCATCTAGTACAGGAAAACAAAGTGATCGGATAAAATTATCAACGTCAATGTATAAAAGCCATCTCCAATGGCAAACCAGCTGAGTTAATGAGACATGGTGTCTTTCAACTGAATCTGGTGATATTTTTACTTAATACTCACTTTGATGTACGCCCAAGAAATAGGCAATATAGCTGATGATCCAAATGGCGCAGCGCTGACTGAACCGAAACTATGAGCTGCGTCACCCAAATCGGCTAATGGGTCGACGACTGGATGTGAAGGTAAGAAAGGAGCCAGGTGAGCTTTCCTGAAGGCATAAAGGTCATCATTATATACAGATCAAACTGAGTTAAGAATAAGTTAAACAACTGTCGAAAATATTAGTTAGATAGACAAATGGCAAAATTAAACAAAATATGCTTACACTCCAATAGGCCCCATTCCAGGTCCGCCACCTCCATGAGGAATGCAGAAGGTTTTGTGTAAATTCAAATGTGATACATCGCTGCCGTAATCTCCAGGTCGGCAAAGCCCCACCTAAAAGTATTAGTGTATTGAAAACTGTACTGAAATAGACCTTTTCTAATTTATGTATTTTATTTGTCAAATTTCTTCTTCAGAATGTTTGTGACTCTCTGTTATTTAATGTTAACCTACCTGTGCATTCATGTTAGCACCATCTAAATACACTTGTCCACCATGTTTGTGCACTAACTCACACACATCTGCGGCCTGCTCCTCGAACACACCGAAGGTACTCGGGTACGTCAACATCAAACAGGATATATTTTTGCTATGTTCCTCAACCTGCAATACATCATCACCATCATGTAATCAATCACCAAAAACTTACTCATAAGCGCATTGCTCACCAACACCTGGACTAATTAATTTTTTTAGGTGTTTTGCTAATGAGGAAAAGGTTCGTATAAAACAAAATTTTCGAAAAGAAGTGGGGCAAAATGGTAAATTGCAACGCTTTTCTTATTAAGTTGGACACTTCTTCGAATCAAGAGCAACCGCTCGCAGGCTATAAACACAGGTTTCGCTACAATATAATAACAATATAGTACTTAAATCTTACAACAATTTACTCACCATATCTTTAAGATGTGCCATGTCTATATCACCAGAAGGCGTAACGCGAATAGCACAGACGCGCATACCAGCCATATGTGCAGATGCAGGGTTAGTACCGTGTGCACTAACCGGGATCAGGCAAATATTACGCTTTGTGTCACCACGGAACTCATGGTATCTTTTTATTGTCCGTAATCCAGCGTATTCACCTTGGGCACCACTGTAAAATGATATTTAAAAGATCATATTATATAAGTTTGTACAAATTGGAAAAATGTGAACTCCTATTAAATGTTAACTAAACATACCTGTTAGGTTGGAAAGAGACACGGTCGTAACCTGTAATCGCGCATAAATCATTGGCTAGTTCTTCAAACAACTGATGGTATCCCTGACACTGATCGAGTGGAGCAAATGGATGGATATCAGTAAAGTGTTTGAAGGAACAGGGCATCATTTCTGTCGTAGAGTTCAATTTCATAGTACAAGATCCCTGCAATAAACAAATCGAAAAATTATAAACGCCTATCAACAAGGAACAGTCAGTACCTAATCATGCGCAAATAATGATAAGGACCCCCCGGTCATTTCACGTTCTACAACAATGCTTTGATAAACTTTTGTGATAACTTAATATTAAAAGCCAGCTGATAAAAATGCTTGAACTTGACCTGAAAACAAGACAACTTATTGAAATCTTACCAGAGGTATCATTGAATGTACAAGTGACACATCTTTGTTCTCCAGGCGTTTCATGTATCGCACTATTCTGGTTTCGGAGTGATGCATGTTGAATACGGGATGAGTGAGATATGGAGATGTTCTTCTGAAGGGACCTTGCTGTATGCTGCGAGTCCTTACATCATCACTTTTTGTAACCTGAAAATTAATAATAAACGGAAAATGATATTATTTTCTTAAATCTTACTTAACACGTTAACCGCCACGTAGATCACCTATGCCTTCAATAGCGCGTAATTTGCCTTCAATAGTTTTCTGAAAATTTCTGGTAAAAATAACAGGTCATGATTATATACGAATAAGTTACTTGCAAAAATTCTTACATCTTCAACGGGTTTACAATCGAAGATCCATAATAAGTCATTAACATCCTCCATGGTTGTGGTCTCGTCGAGAGCTACTCCCACTGCACCATCGTCGAAGTACCTTAAGTTGATCTTCTTTTCCTGAGCCCGAGCTTTGATTGAAGCAGCGTCGTGGTCCGAAAGAGGTACAACATGAAGAGTGTCGAAATATACGTCGTTTGACTGTTTGTGACCGCGTTGCCTGATTCCTGCAGCCATTCAATAGAAATAAGAGTAAGTATATTTTTATGAATAAGTAATAAATAATATGAGACTTTTTTTATTTGGACAAGCCCTTCGCAACCTCCGAAAACTACTGCAACTGTAAGACCGGATCAACAGTAGATACAACCATGAAAACACCGGAATACTGATGTCCGGCGCGTATCTGAGGCATAATGTCTGCCTTGGATCCCGCAACGAAATAAATCAGAATATATTATTTGATAAGTAAAATCAAAATACATAGTTTACTCTTCCCTTGGTAAATGTAATATAGGAGACAGATTCTGTTTTCTCTCTATTAAAATTTGCATCCTGGCAAAATATTATATATATGAACGATTAAAATGCATCGGCATCAACTGTATTGTACCCATATTTGCGAATAAATTTATTTTCATCAGAATGATTTAAGCCTTAAAGGCTAAATAGTGTATGAAGCTAAGTAAACCTCCGGCACTACGATAATTTTTCTGTGCTTACCATGATCTAATACGAGTGTAGCATTGTGCACTCTAGTGGCAATGTCCCGCAACCCTTGAGGGCCATGGTATACGGCATACATGGCGGACATGTTAGCCAAGAGCGCTTGTGCTGTACAAATATTTGAAGTAGCTTTGTCTCTTCGTATGTGTTGTTCTCTGGTCTGAAGTGCTAACCTGTACAAGAACACATGATCTTACTCATCTTACTAATATTATTAATGCGAAAGTTACGATGTTTGGATGTATGGATCTTTAGATGATTGTTACTTAATCACGCCAAAATGGCTAGACGGAACTAGATGAAATTTGCCAGACATAGGATACACTCCGGAATAGGACATAGACTACTTTTTATCAACATACCACGAAGGCAAAGCCGCGGGCGGAAGCTAGTTTTCAAATAAAAGCATTTTCGAATATAGGAATACGTACAACTTGTTATTTTACTTTACCTATAAGCGTCTCTTCCAGTCGCATCTCTTGTAACACCAACCATACGACCAGGCATCAAACGAACCAACTGATGTTCAGCTGCGAAGAATCCAGCATGTGGTCCTCCATAGCCCAGAGGTACGCCCAAACGTTGGGAAGTACCGACAGCAAGTGCTGCCCCACATTCTGCAGGTGGACGCAAAAGAGCGAGTGCTAGTAAGTCTGTGGCAACTACTACCAGCGTCTGTAAGCAATAAGCAAAATGTAAACTTAGGCCTATGTGAGACTTCGATCAGAGAATCGACGCCAGTGACCGTTGTAAGTAGATCGACGAAACAGTCACTATTGTATACATTTATCAAAATATGCCAGTACAGAAGAATACGTACACCGTGTTCATGTGCAGCAGATGCTAGTCCAGAGTAATCATACACCAACCCTCTGGTATCGGGACATTGCAACAATACTGCGGATATATCCCTTTGGGCAAAGTCCACTTGTCGAACATCAGGTACCACATTTACTTCCAATCCCAAAGCATCCAGACGTGTTAGAACAACAGCTAAAGTTTGAGGGTGCAATCTTTCTGACACTACAAATTTCATTCGTTTGTTGAGTCTGTTAAGAAAAAAAGTAATTACGTCCTTAAATGATGAATTTTATGTGATATGCATGATGACACGGACAAAAAGAAAACTTTAGAGTAGGGCAATGTTAAAAAAACAAATGATTTAACTTCGTATGGAAACAGCGTAAAGATTTATAATCTGTGTTATTAAAAACCTTGGCCTCTCAGACCAATAAACTTTATCTACTTAATTGTTTGTGTCTACATCTACATACCTATGGCACAGTGATAGCGCCTCTGCAGCAGCTGTACCTTCATCCAGCAATGATGCGTTAGCTACATCCAAACCAGTAAGGTCACTAACCATAGTCTGATAATTAAGTAGACTTTCCAGTCTGCCTTGGGCAATTTCTGGTTGATATGGCGTATATTGTGTCGTCCTGGAAGAATAATATACAAATAAATGAATCGGGTATTTGCTCATTTTATAATTACATAAATACTAACTTAATGATTTCAAAAGCATTAAGATCTAAAGTGAAGATAAGTTGGTTTAAAGTAACAAATATAATCACCATCCTGGGTTTTCGAATAAGTTGCGCATTATGCTGTGCGGGACACAGCAGTTGTGGTACCCCATGCCAATATAAGATCTCCATATTTGATTCTTTTCGGAAATTTTACGTACGGTTTTAATGAGATCATGTTCACCTGAAAATAAACGTGCTTAAGTATTTTTATGTAAACTTTGTGTTTGTTGTTAATGTAATGTTTCAGGTTACTCCGTCATCAGTCATAAGATACCGCAACCTCTTGGGCTGGAGAGACTGACACTCCCTCTCGCCAAACCCTGGACGAGAGAAGCCGCTTGATTTTTTTGTCTCCCTCAAAAAAAACTCTTATTCACTATCATTTAGCCAGCTAAAAATAACTAATGAAAAGAGATAACTTATTTCTTTTCTATAGGAATGCGGCCTTAACGTAGTAATGCAACTTTAGATTATTAAAGTACTTTTTACTTACTCATAGGTTCGCTTATATTCATGAGACCCTGTAGTTGAATTTTCTTAGGCACCGCATCATCCGTTAATTGATCTAAGCTCTATAACATACACAAGCCAGTATTATATCGATTTTTATAAAAATTTAACGTGCACGTAGAATTTATATGTAAATGTAAATTACCTTGTAACCGAGCAAATCTAACATGGTCACTACATCTTGATCTCGAGGTCCGATATGTCTGCTTGGGAAATCTACACGTTCAGGGAACAAACTATCAGATTTGCTACTCTGAGTGATACAACGCACACCATTCTTCCACAATTTTCCGCTTTGAAAGTCTTTTTGAAGACTATCGAAAGCATTTCTAGGAACTAAACCACGTTTAATAAATCTATACATTTTTAATTATTAGCAATGTGCAACAACTAAAATGTAATAACCATTTTATTGTCCGACTTACGAAAGCGACAGTGATGTACTGATAGAAGGGTCAAAGCGTCTCCCAAGTACAAGAGATAACGAGAAATAAATAATAATTATAATGATTATTTGTAGTAAGTACACATTAGTAGCAATTATCGCTATTGGTATTATTGACTTTAGTAATGACGACATACAAAAACAGTTTTAGAAAATAATATTTTCCATTTGATCAAAACAATTTTAAACATTCGTGGTAGCTGCGTAGTTATTAATAAAATACGACACGATAGCACGGATGTCTCATACTATCAAAATACGTATTATACATATAATCTTATAAATAACATTGACAATCGAGTTCAATCGACAATACTATAAAAATAATGCAACAAACTAGCAACTTACCTACTTCAAAACGCGGTGTTAATAAACTAACGACATAGATTTTACTTTAAGTTTATCAACAATGTCTCTATGAACTGAGTATATCAGAGCCTACACTTAATTTTGAACGGGTACAAATCCATGAAAAGACTAAAGACTGAAAGACACTTTTCGTCTTTGTTCCACCAAATCCCTGATGTATTAACAAACCTAGGTTCCAACTCCTTCCTGATCCGTTGTTTATTGTTGGGACTTTTTTAAATCTTTTCTTCGTAGCTTTTTCCCATAATGCTTATCCAATTGATTGTTTTAAATTCTTAGAAGGAAGTCAGATAAAGTATAACGAATTACATCCATTAGGTACCTATTCATACCATTATTCGTGTTGTTTGCCGATATAAAAAGGAATATTGACAGATTTTAAATTGATATATTCACAGCATCTGAGAAACGGCTTCAACGTTTTTTATAAAGTTTCGTTATTTTGGGGTTGAAAATTAGTTATGTAGGTAGGTGTTTGGGTAATGACACCAATTCTGCTTGTTGTTGTTGTACTTGCGGCCACATCCTCGAGCCTCATGGCTCTCCAAAACACGCCACAGAAGTTTGAAGTATTTTGGACTCTTTTCGCTATATTGAGTTATTTAGGACTAAGTACCAACCTATTAAAAGTTGTGGCACATCTCTATCTACAACAGGTATTGCATAACAGAGGTTCCGAGAGAATCCGGCAATCCGGAATTATGGCGATGCCCCTTATAAGATGTGATGAACGTGACAGGGGTGGTTTTATGACCTAAGAATTCTCCCAAAAACCGCCCTTTGAAGGGCAACAGAGTGCTATCCAAGAGATGGCACAGATAGCGTGGATCTGAAAGGCAATGCAAGGGACGGCCCACATGGACTACACTTAATCTATTTTAGTAGACAAAGATATTTTTTTCTAGAAAAAGATAGGGAAAAAATAAGCTTTGGAGGAGGCCATTGTCAGGGAATAAAACTAGTTAATTGTACATGCCAGTATATGGTAATTATGATAACCGCTTTCCATTATAAATAGGTAACATAAATATGATATAGGTACCTATGCTCGTACCTACATCTAAGTAATAACAATGTAAAAGAAAGTTAGTTTCCAACAAATGCAACGTAACATAAAACTTAACAGCATAAATAGCCTTTATTTTATTTTACTTAAAAAGGCTAAAACTACATAACTTTATTTTAATTTACTTGAATAACTAGGTAGTATAATTATGTACCTTTAAATAGGTACGTTTTATATGAATAAAAGTCGTAAACATAATTACATCGCGTAATACGATACAATTAATAATGAAATGCACAGCTATCGTAGGCAGGTAAATAAGGAGTTTCGAGTTATATTTTGTTAGAAGTTGTAGGTAAAAGGGAATCCCCTTCCGTAAATTACAATGCGTTTCTTTTTACGTTAGTTTAAAATGTCATTACGCCCCAACTCCGTACCTGTAAATATCACCAATAATAAATGATTGTTACGACTCAAAATTACGACTCATAATTTTTGTTATCGAATCATTTAAGATTATTAATCTAACAAAAATTATAAGCTTTTTATTATTAATTGTCATGTATTATTAAACATTACTTTTTATTACCTACTTATAACCAACTTTTGTAAATTGGAATAACAACGTCAAAGTTATCAAATGTGTGAATCACATCACAATATCACATTGAGTTGCATTGACATAGGAAATTCTATCTCAATGTTGAGTTGACATTGAATTTGTATCTTTTTGAAATCAAATACTTAAATTTATGATAATATATAATGTGTTAACTTGTTGCTAAGTTCATTTTATTCTTTATAAAGTACGTAAAATAATTGGGTATGTTACCGAGTGTGTGCAGTGAGTGTTCTTAATTAATAGTGCGTTCTAAAAAAATATAAGTAAAATGACATTATCAGAATATGCTCAATTAAAACAATATATAATACTCTTAGTAGGAACAAACGAAAGGCACAGCGAAATAATAAGTTCTATGAAAGAACTTTTTAGGGACCATATAAATTCTGTGAGGAAATTTGAACAAATAAATAACATAAGTCAGCTATTGAAAATTTTGGAAATACGAGATGTATTATCTGAAGATAACGTAGAATGTCTGAAGAATATTGCTATGAAACTTCCGAACTCTAATGATGTGCTACAAAAAATTGCAGACTATGAAAAAATCCATGTTCCTAGGGAAAATGTAAACTATTATAGTAAGTACCTATAAAGAATATTTACTTATTGTATTCTAAAACCCCTAGCACCTCTATTTATTTCCTTATTCAGCCCAGAACTGTAAACATTTCTAACAATTTTCTATCTTACAGCTATCAAACCGCAGGATCTCAAGAAAAAAGAATCTGAAGACAGCTACATTAGCACAAATCCACTATCAAATATGAGCGAAAGAAAGAAACAGAGAATTTATGACACAATAACTCAGGAAATTGGCAGTTTTTGGCGAGATCTTGCCAGGAATTTGCAAATACGAGAATGGGAGATTGACAATATTGATTTTCAAAATCAAACACTTCATGATAAGGCTACAAAATTGCTGAAAGCATATGAATTAAAGGCTGATACACAAAGATGGTTTTTTGTGTTATGTGAGGCATTAGAAAAAAGTCGTAGAAAGGATCTAGTGAGATCTATACAGGATATTATGGCAATGAATATTTGACAAATAATTTTGTTAGGCCTGAATTGATTGCAAGATTTGTTGTGGTGTGAGTAAGTTTGTGTATTCATTTTCACATTATTTCTCCTTTGCTATCAGTTCATAATCACAAAAAAATATGAACTACGTTGAAAGTAAATAATACAAAAAAAATTACTGTGAATTAAATAATCATTTCATACAAAGTAATATTTTAATTCACTGAGTTTAATAGGAAATAATATTAAATAAGAAATGATTATAATAATTTTTAAATCAGTGTCAACTCACAAGAATTATAGTTCCCCATTCAATGATTTAAAGTTCCTCTCAATTTCTCTGGTCTGCCATATTATTATACATTTAAACAATAACCATTAACTAATAAGAAAGGTGTGAAATCACAATATCCCACCACAACAAAACTTGTCATCATTAAATTTGTGCTGAGCACTATTCCAGGTTTGTTTCATTTCAATGTAACTTTTTTTATTTATTTTTTTTGACAATTGTTGATGCCATATGGCTAGTAATTGTACTGTCAAGAATGTTGAATACAAAATATCAATGAATCAATAAATAAAAAATAATAAGTTATTATTTTGTAAAATAAAATATTTTATAATTTAAATATGTTTATTCAGTGAAACAAAGCACTTTAATAACTCCTTAAAATAACATTGTATAAGTAGGTTTAAAATATATGATAATATATCGAATATATTTGTACTTAAAATTATGGCTTTAAGATTAGACTTCCACCAACAAAACCATAATTTTAAATGATTACCTAATAAAGATCTATAAAAATAGTATTCATTTGGATTTATCCATACCAAAATGCATATTACATAGTTTATTATTACATGGAATGTAATTTGGAAGACATTTTGTGGCTTTTATTTTAGCAAATATATTTATTAGGATATAAACACTTACATACCTACTGGTTTGTTTTTTAACAAACAACAATATTCGAGGAAAACAGGAATGCTATAAAATACTCTTCTTAAACAAGATGTACTTATTATAAAAAATCATATTGTATTAACAATGATATTCATCTAGCAGACTGCACAGTGTAATTCTTAATCTTAATCCCAACACACAAAAAAGTATATAAGATAAAATTGTGTAAGTTCTATTGGTGTGATGCCCATGAATAGGCGTTTTGGAAGAGACGCGACCAGGGAGAGGCTTGGCTAGCAGGGTTAGCGGCACCGGTCGGCGCGGCCGCCGACGCGCTGCACTGCCAGCGTAGCACGCAACGTTCTGGGTGAGGCATCATAGCCACGTGGCGACCGTCTCGAGACCTCACACCAGCAATACCCACTGCAAACAAAAGATGAAGAACTTGGTTAAACCTAAAAATTTATATTTTTACTTAAGATTAATAAACACTTAAATATAATTTGTTACCAACATTTTATTATGCAGGTGCGATAAGTAACAGGCCATTAACAGTTAAGACAAAGAAATAACACAACTTTACTATATTACCTGGGCTACCATTAGGATTCATGGGGTATCCTTCAGTAGGCTCGCCGTCGTCATCTACGTATTGCATGGCAACTTGTCCATTGTCCTGTAGTTTTTCTAGCAGTCGTGGTTCAGAAACAGTGAACCGACCTTCGCCGTGAGCCACCCACACTCCTAGTACACTACCTCCCATCCCACGGAACCAGACGTCAGATTTATCTTCAGTAATCTTGACTGCACTCCAGCGGCATTCGAATCTACAATAAACAAGAATGATGATTATTTTAAACCCCTATAGCGACACTGCAAAAGAGTTATGTTATATTGATTCTTTTTTTTAACTCTAAACTAGGTTTTGAATACACAGTTGGCCACTGCGCAATTCGTCTGATGCGACTGAGTGAAGAAGATGACTCTGAGTCATCTTCAAATTATTGTTTTTGAACTTAAGTGTGATGTGCATTTGTATGTTAGTTAACGCTCTCACGAGACGGGACAAAATACTAGAGTAGGGCTATGTTTAATAAAAGTTTAGTAGGCATGTCTATGTAAATACCTTTCGGAAGTGTTGTGGTCAAGGAAGACCTGTGTTTTGCTAGCACTCTTTTCTGTGGACTCAGGGTCTATCCAGCCAAGTAGTGCCATTAGCTGACATCCATTGCACACTCCCAGGGAGAATGTGTCATTTCTGTTCTTGAAGTGAGAGAACTGAGAGCTCAGAGAATCTGAGAACAGAATACCTGCTGCCCAACCCTTTGCAGAGCCCAATGTGTCTGTAAAACAAGCCAAAGCAATAATTAATTCACATTTCGGTTACTCCGAATGAAGAAGAAACTACTATATTCCATCACTGAAGTTATTAATTAGCACCAACAACATTATTGAACACTATATAAATAAAATATATTTTATTTCAAAGAACAGGTCACCTGCGTAACTAAAACCTCCAGGGAACACCAAGCCTTGGAATGCATCCAAAGTTATTTTCTTGTTCTGAAGATCACTCATTGTGACGTCGAAAACGTCAAAGTTCGCCATCATTAGGGAAGCGATCATCTCCCTGTCACCATTTGTTCCTAAAATATATGAGACACAAATCAATATGATTACATTATTTGTTAATGTATAATTTTCACAGGAGATTTGTATACTGATTTGATTGGAAGGAATTTTAAATACTCAAAAATGTTTTTAACAAAAAAAAAACATTTTACCTTCCTCACGCAGAACAGCTACTCTAACAGGCTTCGTCTTAACGACCGCTGCAGAAGGATCGAACGTAACATTATATGTCACACCCTTCCTCTTTTCAAGACCTATAAAACAAAATGCAATTTAGTCATATATTTTTTTAAACTTTCCCCCAGCACTTGAAGGCGAATATTTTCTTTTGTGTCGCTTGTAGACAATGGATAGATCAGAAAGAACTAATACTCAGTCCAAAAATAATTATTTCAACTCCTAAATCCATAAAAATCTGAAATCAGAAAAAATACTATTGAGTTCTTAAGTGACATGTTATTATCCATATATTTAATAAAATTACTCTAAAATATAAAAGTAGGTGCCAGCCGGCAGCGGGAGCAAGGTCCAAGCTACCGGCAGTTAGGGCTCCAAAGACAGGAACCTCCTCACAATACGTGCTGTTTCAAGGAGGACTGCCTTCTGTATGAGGCCCTTGGTCCATCCGCCTAACGTCAGCCTCTTAAGGTGGTTGTCGAGGCTTTTGAGGACTAACCCATTTGCCGACACAACTATCGGCACAACGATAGCCGAGTCCACACTCCACATGTCAACAACCTCGTGAGCTAAGTCAAGATATTTCAATTGTTTATCTTTCTCAGCTTTCACGAGGTTCTCGTCATGAGGAATGGCAACATCGATTATCGTCGTGCGACGCGCTAGTCGGTCTACCAACACTATGTCAGGCTTATTGGCTACAATAGTCCTGTCTGTGATGATAGACCGATCCCAGTACAATGTGATATGGTCTTTTTCGAGAACTGGGTCGGGCACATACTTGTAGTACGGAACCTCAGACTCAACAAGCCGGTATTTCAAAGCAAGTTGCTGATGAATAATCTTGGCCACCTGATTATGGCCACATGTTATTATTATTACCTTGCCATTCCTGACGGGCGCACTCAGTGTTAGCTTGCAAGCATTCTAGTTGGTAACTAGTTTCTTCCCACATCCTGTACACATCTATCAATTTTGTTTCGAGAACCTTTTTACCATTCACCTTAATAGAGACCTGGAAAGAAAGTGTACTATAAGTAACCAGGGATGGTGTCTTTAAAAACGAAAAATATGTCTACCATGTTTCTTTTATTTAGTAATGGCTAATGTGTTTAGATTAATAGTAACTAAAGCCTTTTATTAAAAATTACCTCAGAATTCATTCCATATTTTCCTGTAGTCCCAACTTGTTTAGCAAATACATAACTCTTCTTATATTCACTGAGGACATAAGCTACATTCACACTTTTAACTTCCAAAATGATTCCTAACTCTTCATTGAAAAGTGCTGCAATATCCGATACATTGGACGGCACTTGGATATCCAAGTTAATACCGCGAATACCACCAATGCCCATTTCTATAGCCGTGGTAATGAAACCTCCTTCACTAACATCATGGCCAGATAACAACTTGCCCTCTGCAAAAAAACATTAAGTCATATATGAAATTGCTGGTTTTCAGAAGCAGTATGATTATTCGTGTTAAGTTTAGGCCTTATATTCTCGAACACAGCTCAGCCGGGGTTGCGGGTTAAGCGCGCAATGAGTCACTGCGGCCTCGGCTCAGAGCAGGAGAAGGAACGGAGGGGGGGGGGGGGGGTTTAGTCAGTAAGAGTCTGACACTCTCTATCGCCTAACCCTGGGCGGGAGAAGTCAATTGATGATTTTCCCCTGACAAAAAAAGGGGTGATTTTGCAGTAAACTTACCTTTCAATAAGCGCTGTGTTACTTTGAACATAGATTTAAGCACAGTAGGTTCATCAAGGTCTGGAGGATTGTCACCAAGCTGCTTGTAACATTGTGCCAGCGCTGATCCACCAAGTCTACAAAAATATATTGTTTTATAAGAGTTATTAAACAATAATTCAAATAGAAATATTTTCTTCTGGTAAATTTTAATCAAAAACTATGAAAACTATTAAGAAATGTAAAACTTTTTATTATATTCTCACAGCTGATCGGGCAATGCGCGGCGTACGCGCGAAGCTTGTTGTAAGTAGTAATGAAAAAAAAGCTAATGAGTATAGTCAGTTTATTTGGGAAAAGTTATTTGCTATCGTAGGTACAATCACGTGTTTAAATATCGGTAACTAATTACCAGTCACCCTATATATTAGGTATTTGGTGTTTGTATTTACAAACCTGTATTTTCCGGGGCTGATGGGCACATAGACAAGAGCTGAACCTTCTTCTAATAGAGCAGGCTCAATCTTGACAGTAATATCTGGGCAAGGTGCGTAAGTTGACACTACTAGGGTGCCAGGTGATTTCACTGTAACACAAGTAAGTAAATTAGGTTCTTAGGTTCGATTGACGCGTGAGGCACTTCAATATTTTAATTATTAATACAATACATAAGACAAATATCACAAAGATTAAAAAAAAAACTGTTTATAGCCTAAAAGTGTACTGAACCATTAAT